CTGAAACAGGCGCCAGGCTCTGAGCTGGCAGTCAGCACAGGGCCCGACGCGGGGCTCGAACCCACGAACCGCGAGATCATAACCCAAGTGAAAGTCGGACGCTTAACCAACTAAGCCACCCAGGCGCCCTCAGAATTCGGTCTTCTCAGACTCAGGGAATGGCTTCTAAGGGAATGGTTTCTCAGCAGACCTGGTAACCTCGGGCTTGTAACTGCACCTTCTAGTTTCCTCACCTGAACAATGGAGGTGCGTATTAGGATTCTCAAGTGCAAATGACAGAAAGCCAGCATGACCTGGCTTCGATAAAAAAAAGGGGCTTTGTGTTCTCATCTAAAGGAAAAGTCTAGAGGCACCTTGGTGATGCTGTCAGTTAAGTTTTCCGACTTCAGCTCAGGTCATGATCTCACAGTTCATGGGTTCAAGCCCTGCATTGGGCTCCGTGCTGACAGATCAGAGCCTGGAGCCTGCTTCAGATTCTGTGTCTCCCTCTCTGCCCCTCCCTTGCTTGGGCTCTGTCTCTCGCTCAAAAATAAACATTAAATTTTTATAAATGAATGAATGAATGAATGAATGAATGAATGAATGAAAATTCCAAGGAGGAGGTTCTTAGGCAAGCTGTCCAGTCTTGTTCCAGGCTCACCTGCTACCAGCTCAGCAACCCCAGAGGGAAACACATCTGTTCAGCAGTGGTCTCTGCAGAAATTGCAGCCCTGGGTGCCTCTCGGAACTCAGAGCAGGATGCCTGACTGGCAGCAGGGTCAAAGGGGCCCGCGTTGGAGGGACGGGGAAAAGGGAGTTAGCCTCCAGAAACCACATGGAAGAGTGAGCAAGGAGGGATAGGCCCTGCCAAAGAGCATGGTGGGACTGATTCCAGAAGAAGAAGGAACAGATGCTGGGCAGGTGAATGTAACAGGCGTCCACTGCAGGGAGAGCACACCAGCCTCACAGGCTTGACGTAAATGAGACCCTCAGCTCAATGCCGGGGACCTTCAAACATTAACTGTTGCTGTTGCTGTTATTACTGTCACTGTGCACAGGTAGGCTTTGTAACTTGTCTTTTTATCCTTAAGAATCAATTGCTGGGTGACCTGGGTGGCTCAGTTGGTTAAGCATCCGACTCTTGGTTTCAGCTCAGGTCATGATCTCTCGGTTCATGAGTTCAAGCCCCATGTCAGGCTCTGCGCTGACAGTGCTGAGCCTACTTGGGATTCTCTTCTTCTCTCTGCCCCTCCCCCACTGGTGCTGTCTGTTTCTCAAAATAAATAAATAAACCAAAAAAAAAAAAAAGATTTCTTTTGCCAGGGCCAGGAAGAGGCACAGAGTTGTAGTTTCCCTCCAGCCCCTGAGGCAGGCAGTGTCTCCTCTCGCCAGATGCACCTCATCCCCTCATCGAGACAAGCCGAGGCCCTGTTCATCCGCGCCTCCTGCGTGCCGCCTTCCTGCACACGGTGGCCTCCCCCTTCTTGCTGAAGGAACACACCTGAAACAAACAGCCACCCACGTGTCTCCTGTGTTGGCAGGATTACATGGAGTGCGGGGGTGGGGGTGGGGGGGCTTGATTTCACACTGTCTGCTCAAATAAAGCGCCAGCCGCTTGGGACCAGGGCCTGGATCTCACATGCCTTTGGTTATACCCCCTTCCCCTCAGGCCTGTAATGCAGATCTGGGCACACGGCAGGATCCAGTAAGTGCCAGACACCCGAGGAGCCTACTGGTACCATGGCCTAGAGGACAGGATGCAAGCCTGTTGGAGGATATCAGACCACGGAACATTCGGACAGTCTCCATCAGCGAGGCATCGAGCTCCGCTGCCAGCAGCTGGCGGAGACCAATCTGTGTCCCCAAGGCCGACCTCCAGCGTTTCTTAACAGAACTCCAATGTTTTAGAACCCCAGTTTAAAAAATATAAATCTCAATACTTTTCCTTAAGAGCAGGACTTTAACCTATTCAAAAGCAGAAAGAATGATATAATGAACTCCATGTACGTACCACTTGGCGTCAGCAATTGTTAACACATGGCTAACCTTGTTGCATCGATCTTCTCACCTCCCCACCTTGAATTATTAGCACGTGCGTGCGTGCGTGCGTGCATGCGTGTGTGTGTGTGTGTGTGTGTGTGTGTGTTTTGAGAGAGGGAGAGAGAGAGAGAGAGCAGCATGAGTGGGGGAGGGTAAGACAGAGAGGGAGAAAGAATCCCAAGCAGGCTTCAAGCTGTCAGCGCAGAGCCTGATGTAGGGCTCGAACCGTGAGATCATGACCTGAGCAGAAATCAAGAGATGGACATCCAGCCAGCTGAGCCACCCAGGTGCCTCTCCCTTGGATTATTTTGAAACAAATCCAGACATCCTATCATCCTATTGATGACATTATCCTATGTCATCAATAAATGCAGTATGTAAAGGCAGTCTTTGAACACATACACACACACACACACACACAGTGTAAAACACGATACCTTTATCACCCGTAAAAAGCAGTGATGACTTCATGATAATTTCTTAATATCATCATTATCCATTCATTGTTCAAATTTCTCCAACTGTCTCTTAATTTTTTAAGAGCTGACTTGTTCCTACAGTTTCTAAAAATACAAGAGCCCTACATGGAGTCAGGAGAATCCCAAGTTTATTCAAGGGGGCAACTCATTCAGTACATTTCTCCATGTCTCAAACCGGTGTGTGGCCATTTGTCTCAGTTTTGGCCAAGGAGGTAGATGTGGGTGGGTGGGGGAGTCATCTGAGAAGACTCCTGAAAAGGAGCTGTCATATGGGAAATGAGTAACTTTCATTTTTCCCTTCTTCCTGATGTGTGGAACTTGGGCTATGATTTCTGGAGCTCCAGCAGCTATCTTGGACCATGAGGTAACCTCAAGCTAAGATGGCAGAGAGTAGGAACTGAATTTCCCACTCCACTGTTATTTCCGGCTTTTATTATCAAATCACTTAAGATTAGGTTCCTGGTAATAAATAGAAAACAAACCAAAATAAAAATTTTAAAGCAGTGGCTTAAACTTGATACAACTTATTTTTCTCTCTTATGTGAAGTCTAGGGATAAGCAGTCGCGGGTAAGACAGAGTATTAGATATCTACGTCTGTGTAACTAATTACACACCAGACTTAGAAGCTTAATACAACTGATCATCTGTTTCAGTTTCTGGGGGTCAGGAATCTGGGGTTCCCCAGGCCTGAGCTGCAGTCATTACCAGCTTGAGTGGGTCTGTAGGAGCCACTGGCTTAGGGCTTCATTCCCAGCCATGTGGGTCTCTCTCTAGGGCAGCTCAAAACATATCAGCTGCCTTTCCCCAGAGAGATCCGAGACTGGAAGAGGGAGCCGGAGAGGGTGCACTCAATGCAGAAGCTGGGGTCTCCCGCTCAGTCTCAGACTGAACACCCGCTGGGCTGTTTCGGCGCATTCTGCCCTGGTCCTCCAGCCTCCATCCCTCTGACCTAGCTTCCCTCCCTCTCCCTCTCCCTCCCCCACCCGACCCTCCACCCCGGGTCTGTCCCATTGTCCCTCCTGGGTAAGCTCTCTTGCTTCTGGGGAACACGTCAGGTCCCAGTCCACTTCCCTCTCTCTCATTCTCCTCTGAACCCCTGCTTTATGCCTCTGATGCTTGTCAGGGCTCCAAGCCACCATTCAAGCTCTCTTCCCAACACGGCCTCCAGGGCAGCCAGAACCCTTCCCCTTCCCCCTCTGAGCCGCTCCCCACTCCCCTGCTCCCGGCACACTCCCCGCCTCTCCCCTACCTGGGCTGCCCAGACCCCTTCTCCCTTAATCCAGTTCCTTCCTGTCCAGCCAGGCCCTGATCAAGCCCCCTCCTCCAGGAAGCCCCTCCTTGTGGTTTGCGGTGCTTTCAGGACTTGTAGTGCACCTGGCCTGAAAGCTGGGCTGGGGAGGCGGGGGCAGGCGGGATGAGCTGCCTCCCCCTGCCTCGGACTTGGCGGTAGGCTTGGTAGAGTGGCTGGCGCAGAGGTAGTGAGCCTATAGGATCCGGCTCCCTTTCCGTCCTGGGGGCTCTTCCCCCAGAGGGGTCACACGGAAGAGGTCTGCCGCCCTCTCCTTTGGTTTCCCAGTACTGGGGGCCCTGGCTCCCGCTGGGACTTCATCTTCCCCACGTGATGGGGGGGAGGAAGGACTGTGAGGTGCGTGCAGGGTGGCCTTATTCTGGCCCGATTGTCCCGAAGCCGGGTCTCCTGAGTCCCTTAGCTCCTCTCCTTTTCCAAATCTTGTCGTACAGTCTCCTCGGAATTCTGGGCCCCCACTTTGACCTTCCAACAAGCCCCAGCTTGCTTATGCAGCCACATCTGTCGCTGGCCGCCCCGGCCGAGGGCGCAGTCAGGCTGTGAGTCCGTGTCTCCTCCTGAGATGGACACGGAAGGTCAAGGCCGGGGCTATGGGTGGGACCGCTTCCCCGGGCTCGGGGTTCGCAGGCCTCGGTGTTTTCTTTCCCGCAGCTGCCGGGCCCCGCGGGCGGGGCGGAGGGTCTCCGGCGGGAGAGACGCCCTAAGCCCCCGGGTCCAGCCCCGCCCGGCTCGGCGGGGAGGGGCGGGCCCGGGAGCTCGGGGGTTGCCGCGCGAGGCCCCGGCGCCCCCTGGTGCCCGCGGCAGGAACGGCCGCCGCGCAAGATGGCCGGGGGCGGGCCGCGCCTCTCTGCGCCCGCCTCGACCCCTCGGCCAGCAGGCCCCGGGAAGAGCCCTCCCATTTGTCGATGGGCCACTTCCGTTTCCGCAGACGACGGCCCACATCCCCCGGGTGCCTGCGGCGGGGTGCTCGCCCGCAACAGGCTGCACGCGCGGCTGGGCCTCGGGGGTCCGCCCCCCACCCCGACGGCCCCGCTGCCCCCGACCAACTGGGTGCGCTTTCCGCCCCTCGGAGCGAAACAGCCTCTGCGGAGCGGCAGGGTCTGAGTTCTGACTACATTCCCAGCAACTGTCGCTCTGGTGACTTATTTGCTTCTCCAAGAAGTTTCGGCTCTACCTGGAGGTTTCTCCAGGCTTCTAACTGGAGGCTTCTGGGGCTGCTCCGTCCAGTAGGCAGCCACAAGCCACGTGTGGCTATTGATCACTTGAAGAGTGGCAACCGAAGAACCGAATTTTTCGTCTTATTTAACTTCAATTAAATTTAAAAACAAGCCGTGTAAAAATTTTCTGTAACACAACTTCGTCTTGGTAGGATTACGTGCCACTTATAAGCGTTGAAAATGTGGGATCCAAATTGAGATGCACTGGGTAAACTGCATACTGGATTTCCGAGTTCCTGCAAAAATAATGCGAAATATTCATTTTTAAATAATTACACCCTGAAATATTTTGGATCTGTTGAGGTAAATAGAACATTAATTTTGCCTTGTTTTAGAGAAATATGGCTACTAGGAAGTTTTGTGGGTTTCTCATAATGTATATTTTGGAGGGAGAGCACAAACGGGGTTGGGGGGGGCAGAGAAAAAGAATCCCCATCAGGTTCTGCACTGTCAGAGCCTGAAGAAGGGCTTGAACTCACAAACTGACCATCCGCCCAGGAGCCCCTAGGAAGTTTTAAATTGTGTTGATGCCATTCTATTTCTATATTTGCTCTAGGGAGTGTGTTGGGCTATGGGTGTTGGAGGTGGGCACAGGCTTAGCGCAGTGTGAACGCATGGAAAGAATACTCGCTTATGGCCTGAAGGCTTGGCCGGCGTTGGTTGGGCCACTCACTATCTCTTGGTGCCTCACCAGCAGTTAAGGTGAAATGGGGTCAAGTCCAGGTCTACTCCCCCAGAGGCTCCCAGGGCCAGTGTGAGGATCATAAAGGAAAGCCCTCTTTGGCCACGGAGGAAGTCACCATTCTCTCTGAATTATCACTGGAGGAAGGCTTGATGGAAGACTTTCACGTTTCTGGAATGAGTTGTGATCAGTACACAATTCTTTTTAAATCCTTAGAAATGCATTTTTAAAAGCTTTGTTCCACACATTTTAAGTGCATATTAATGGACTAGAGCAGGCACTTGATTCACTCTTTGTAGAACTGAAGAGAACAGAATCTGGGCTGAAGCTTCTTCAAGGGAGATGCTTGTTGTGTTCTTAGCTGGGAGGGGCCCCAGGAAGTGAAGCCGAGAGAGACCCAAAGGTTCCTTCTCCTGGTTAACCACTGACGAGCCAGCCAGGAGGGCCGTTTCTCTCGTAGGGAGCCCAGGTCTGTCCCTGCCAGCCCTGAGTGCTTGACACCAGGCCTAGGAGCCAAGTTTGAGGCCCAAAGAGCCCTGAGGAACCCAGGTCCACATGAGAGTCCAGGCTTAAAAAAAGCAAACCATATTATAGACATCCGCACATCCACACATGCCCTACACACAGAGCAGGAAGGGAAATATCCCTGTATCTTTAGCCTAACATCAAATCCCTTGTCAGGGCAACTCTTCAGTTCCAAAAAGTTCTGGATGCACAAAGCCTACACAAGGTGCGGCAGGTTCATCCTGGGTTCATCTGGGGACGTGGGTCTCTGAGAAGCCTGTGGGCTCCTCACAAACAAGCCTGCTCAGCCCAGCAGGTGGCCCCAGGGACTCTGCAGAGCCAGGGGTTGTGGGATCCATAAAAACCTTCTGTGCCTTCTTCTAGGTGGGGAGCGGGAAACACCAGGGTCTAGTGTCACAGGAACTCCCCGGGATAGAAAGCAGGCTTCTGACATGGCAAGAGAATTTAAGTTGGTAAAAAATTCTGGTCTTTTCCAGGACAATATACCTCAGGAAGCCTGGGTCGCCCTTCCCAGCAAAGGGGTGATGCCTCAGGCAGGCAGTGGAAAGCCAGCTGCAGCCTAGGACACGGCTGGGCGGGGCTAGACTGAGGCTGAGGCAAGAGCGGCACTGGGTGACGTTACTGGGGAGACTGGGGAGCAAGGGGAGGTGGGACCCAAACCCCAGCGAGTGCACTGGGACTCCTCACCGGGTTTTTACAGCAGCTCCCTCATGCTGTCAGATGGATAGAATAGACTGTTCATGGGACCGATACTTCTCTTACTTCTGCTTTCACCTGGAACATGGGTGTTCTCAACTCCCAAAGCTGTTTGGGTCCCCAAACTCTGTCTGATCTTGAACGGTTGGTGTTTCACAGGCTGCCAGGATAGCCTTCCAGGATACTGTAGCCCGTGATATTGTAACCATATCCGTATCGTTTCAGAGACTGGATGTAATTCGGAGTCCCAGACTGTCGGAGTCGGAACCTACTAGTTGAGGCACCTCATTTTAAAAATGAACCGGAGGCCCGCCGAGCTCAGAGACCACCGTGCTAGTGAATGAAGAGGCGGGACGGGAACCCAGAGCACTGGTTGACCCACTACACCCGGCTGAGGGGTCAGTGAGCAGCACCTGCAAAGAACCTGTGGAATGTTTTGCTTCTGACTGAGCACTGGAGGCAGCTTGAGGGCTTCGTTGCCCCAGGAGGGCTTAGTTGCTCTCTCCCAGCAGAGCACCATTCCTAGGTGGCCTTACCCTGCCTCTCCCGGGCAGATACAAAGCGTGACCTACTGGAGGACACAGCAGGATTCAGTGGGGAATAAAACTTTTCTGGGGGAAGTGAAGGAGAAGAAAACAGTGGAAAAGAGTTGGGGGAGTAAAAACAGGTGACCAAGTCTTCCCTTTGTCTTCAATCCAGCTCGAGTGGATTTTCCAGTAGACTAGGCAACATCGCCACCTGGTGGCCATCAAGGGCGGATGCTTTAGAAAGGGATAGGAATGCTGTGCTAACCCAGGGCTACCCTTCTGATGCAAAACCCACGGTTCCCCGCGCCCCCCTCCCCCAGACGGGCATTTGGCACAGCGGGGCACCTGTTTAGGCAGATGGCCCCAGCAGGAAGCTGCACTGCCTGTGAACTCCAGGCCAAATGGGTACCCTTCACTCAGCATTAGCTGACAGCGTCTAGAAGGTCTGGGCTGACCAGCAAAATGGAAGCCGTACCTGATGATCCACATGGGGGCAAGTGGGGTCTTTTAGGCTCCAAGACCTCCCAGAAGGCATGGCCTTTCATGGCCCTCAAGGCTGTGGAGAAGCCGCAGAGCCACCCCTGTTTATAGTCCTTGGTCACCTGCCCCTCCAGGTCCTGAGACAGGACTCTGGAGTGGGGCCTCTTACTGTCTAAAGGTGACATTCTCTTCCCAAACTAATCTAGTCATCTGCCTTTGTTAAGAGCTTCTCAGTAAAAAAAAAAAAAAGAAAGAAAAGGAAAAGAAAAAAAAGGGCGGGAGAGACAGAAAAAGCCGACTTCTACTGCTCAGAATCATCAGATGAACAGGGAGGGTGTTTTTAAAAGCAGTCACGGAGGCTGTATCTTATTGATCAAAGTCCAGCCATTTGCCAAGGTATATATACACATTTTATTTAAAAAAGTTTACAGTTTTCATTATACACAACTATTAAGAGGTTATAGTCAGAGGAGGCATTTGTCCTGTTGAGAAGTGCCCGCTAGATCATCACAATGCAAGGAAAAGGTGGCAGGGAGGAGATAGGGCAAGGAAAAAAATAAGCAATAAAAAGCTTAGATTTCAGTTAAGGGCTGGTAAGTCCCTTTTATCTCTTCAAGTATCACACAATATGTACCAAATACAATCAGTAAATAATGGCCATTTCTTCCCAAGCCCACAGCCAAGACAGTATTTGCTGAATGGAGTCCTGGCCCTTCCTCAGGTTGAGTGGAGAACCTGACCAGCCGAGGGCCGCTAACTCCCCCTCCCCGAGGGGCCTCCATGCCAATCCGTGACGGACCCACCAAGGTGTTCAGTGGTCAGAGAAAATATGAACATGGGTTCAGAAGTCCAAAGAAATGCAGGTCTTTGCACCCAATCAGAAAGGATTTAATTTTAGTCAAGGCGGCTATGAACCCCGTTAAGAAGTTGATGAAAACAAAAAACAAAAAACTCTTGCAAACTTTTGTTAATGGCTTTCACTTTTCTAATTGAGTCCCTAGAACATAGAAGGGCCGTATGCCATTCGCAATCAAACACCAGTTCCCAGAAAGCTAGGGTCTAGAAACTTCACCCATGAAGCCTAGCAGAGGACCTGTCTTTCATGATTCTCAGCCATCGTAATAGGCGGCCTAATAAAAAGCAAGTGTCAGGCCAAGGCCGACCAGGGCTTTGGAGAGCATTTTGGGGGAAAACAATTCCTCCAAGGGCCGACACTCCCCGGAGCCAGGTCAGCCAGTTGGCAATGAGAACAGCTCCTGAACTGGAAGGACGTTAGGTGCTGGAGACAGATATGGCAACTTCTGGTAACGATCTCACTGATATAAAATGCTGGTTGAAAGTGCACAGTGACCTCAAGGAGGGCGAGAAGATGGAAAACACAAGGGCAAACTGCCGGCATCTAGCTTGGCCACCACTGAACGCAACCCACCCGGCCCCGGCGCGGGGGCCGCAGGACAGCGGCGGTTCTGTGCCGCGGCTGCAGCCACCTGGCGTGTCGCTTTAGCGCGAGCTTGAGCTCGGTCATTTGAACAGGGGCAAAGGGGGGCTTGCGTTGGTAAACCACACGGTAAGACTTCAAAATGAACTATGGGTACGCGAAGAAAGGGAGGGAAACTGCCAGAAGCAACTCTGACCTACCACCACCACCTTTAAGAGCAGTTACGTTCAGCCTTTCTGAGGGGCTCTGGGTGCTTTTCTGAGCATTATGATGGGAAACCTGGACAAGCTTTTGGTGCTGTGACACCCCCTGCCCGAGCCTTACTGCAGCTCGTCTGTTACTGGGGGTCAGAGTCCTCTGATTCACAGCCAGGCCTCCTCCTAGCTCCCGCTGTACCTAGAAGCACGGTCTCCTCCTCCAGCCTCGTTCTCCCAGGTACAGGAAGGGACACAAGTTAGCACAGAAAGGGATTCGGTTCGACTTCTCAAAAACTAGTTTGTGAGAGGAGAGGGAAAGCCCCATACAGAGCCAGAAGCATGCATGGGACCAAGGTGAGTGCCCAGAAAGGATAGACTTGCACAGAATGAGAGGGTCCAGCGTGATTTGGGTAGCAATTCCAGGAGCCTCCTGTGCTAAGAGGAAGCCTAACCACACCATCAGACAGACTTGGATGACACACGCACATGTGCTACAGCCATGCTACACTCAGATCTGCTTCTTAGCCCCCACAACCTCCCCCAACACGTCGTCTGGGAATCCCACAACACCGAGGCTCCCAGTGCCAGGGAGCTCTAGTGGCGGCGAGCTGTCGTCTTTTTATCCGAGAAAAGAGGCTCTGGTTGGGAAGCGGAGCCGTGGCTCACATACCTTCCCCCTGCAACTTGGCTCTACTAGTATTTTTTGTTTCTTTTTCTGACAAGATTAAAAGCGATTATTATCTGGACATTATTTTTTTTTGAAAGGTAATTAGAACACTATTGTTTATACAATATTGAAAAAATACAATTTTTTATTGTTTGAACTCATATCACCACCCAGCACTTTAAAGCCTACCCTAAGTCGCACCTACGATTTAAACGGTTATAGCACAAGCAAACTGCTAATTCAGCAGGTAAGCAGGTTAGCGCCAGCAGAGACCCTCCCTCCCCCAAAATAATGAGAAGACCATGCGCTAGAAAAGAGTTAAAGCACACCATTCCATGTTAAATAGTTAACACTACCCCTCCAACGTGCCACAGATGCTAGATAGATAACTCAGTACGGTTAACTAACCACAGCCCTACATAACTGCACTTTAGATTTTTTTTAAGGAAACCTTTGCTTCATGCCCGTAATTAACATAAAATAAGTAAATTCTTTGTCTTTTATTTAGGAAAATAATCATGCTAAAAGCAAGTTGTACTTTATATAGATTTTTAAAGAAAAGATTGATTGTGCTTTTTGGATAAAAAAAGATAGGGTATCTTCCAACCCTCACCGACTCAAATCTTGTGGAATAGATCGCACTTCTAAACTAAAGAAACACACATCAGAAAGAAAAATTATCCCCGTGGGACACTCCAAAATTGTCTCCAGAACATTTTTCGGATTGGCTAGTTCTGCTATTGTCCTATTGGTTGTGGCAAAAAAGGGATACAGACTTGCTGTCTCACGTTCTCCAAATTCAGCAGGCAACACTCCTACTTAAAGGAAACCCTGTGGGCAACCTGGATGTACGTTAGCTGAGTAAACATTTGATTAGCAGGCATTTTCAACTGTCTGATTTCCTCTTAACACATATGGGAGAGAACATTTTCCTCCTTCGAAACCTGTCCTACCACATCGTATTTCCGAATCTTTCCTCCAACCCAGTCACACTCTGAAAGAAGCGGTTTTTCCCATGTAGACTCACTCTGGGTACAAGGACCTTTATTTTGTTCCAATTATTACTCATTTTAAATTTAGACTGTGTGTTGGGTCTAAAATACCCATTTCCCACTCCCACAAGCAGATGATGACGAGGAAGCTGCCAAGAGCAGCAGCGGGAGGGAAAACAAACCCCAAACGTGAATGAGAGCACCCAGGAGTCCCAGCCACCAGACGGGTCTTCTCGCCGAGTCTAATGGTCCACTGAGCGGCTGCCAAGGAGGAGGCCACCTCTTGGTAGGTGAAGATTAAATCTGCAACTTGTCTAAGCACAATTCCCACACTCACACTCACTCACACACACACACACACACACACCCCCCAAAGGAAAAAAAAAAAAGCCCCAACCACAACAAAAAACACAGAAACACCCACAACCACCCTCAAATTTAAAGCTCTCAGTCCAGGGTAGCAGTTCTGCACGTGTTGGATGAGATGAAACAACTTCACTCCTCCGTCCTGTCCTCCCAGCAAGGGATGGCCTGTAAGCTCTACCCCAAGAAAAAGACAGGTTCAGGAAACACTTCCAAAAGGTTCTCCAAAGCAAAACACTTGTGGCTGCAGGGCCTGGTAGCGAGAAGGGCAGGAATCTACATATAAAAATGTACTTAAAATCCAGAGTCAAGAAATCGTTGTAAGTTTCAATACTCCAATTAGCTCCCTATTTTAAAGTGTTAACTCTGCGGAAACGGGGCCCCCCAAGGACCCCCGGGAAGGAGCCACTGGGCATCGGCCACTCTACGGGCTCCCACGGCAGGGGCAGGCCTCTCTCCCCGCCCGGGCCTCCCGTCTATTTTGAAAAAGCACTATACTATCTTCACGTCCAAGAGCTGGTTGGTTTGGTTTGTTTCTTTGGAACCATCAATACAAGAAGCAACTTTTTCCTGTTATTTTTACTCATGTCTACCTATCAGAGCGGCTATTTCTTTTGACAGTTCAGTAGCACACAGGCTGACTTGGCCAAACGGACTTATGGATGCATGCATTCGGACCGCATATTGCTACCAAAATGGAATGTGGGAATATGCTATGCACCTCAGGTTGAGAAATGACCAGGAAATCAAGATCTAAAGGGTGATATATAATATATATATATCAATGCTATTATTCATAAAAACCTTGTTTAGTAATAAAAAAAATTGCTTTGTTTAAATATGAATATTATAGTCTGCTTCTCATGGTTAGGAAATAATAGTCTTTCTGAAAAGCAGGTGCTTTTTCTACTACAACTCCATATCCTGGGCCTCATCTTCCGAAAAGTCAGACATGGAACTCTCCGACGAGCTGTCCCCAGTGCCCTCCTCCTGCTCCTTCAGCGCCTCCTCCGTCGCGTACTTCTGGATGTACTCTGCACAGAGGGCGGGGGGAAAGAAAACACAAGGGTGGTGAGTAAACAGGCACGTGAGACGGCGACCCCAAAGCTGGCAAAGTCCCAGGGAAGCTCGAGCTTTCCTTACTTGCCAGGGGGTGGGAGGGAGAAAAGAGGCCAGCTGTCATGGTCACTAAAACCTAAGGGGGAAATCCCGTAGAAGACGTCGGTGGAGTTCATGCATTTCGCCCCTTTAGTAAGAGAGGCAAAGCAGAAACCCGATTGGCAGAAATCGGAATCTCCATCCTAGAACCCCCTGGGCCATCACCTTCCAGGGGGCGGAACGCATCCTGGGTGGATGTGTATGAGGCACCTGCCCGACCACCCTCGGCAGTCCAGGACGGCACCTGGGGCTACGCGGCCTTCGGTTCCGCTGCCAGGGCACCCTCACTCCGGCCTTGCTGGTGCGCCCGTATGCCTGCGCTCCGCCAAACTTGCGGAGCTGGGGAAACACGGGCCTCATACTTTCTTTTCATCTCTGTGTTAATAAAACGATTCGCCTCCCAGGTAGAACAGGACTAGTTATGATTCCATAGTAATTTATAAGGAAATCCCCCATCATTTTTAGACTTGCAAGTTATATAATTACAGTCAGCCCAAATCTATTATTTTAGGAATAGATTTTAGTCTCAACAGATCCTGCCTGTCAGGTTTTTGAAGCAGCTGGTAAAACAGTCTCTCAATCTGCTCAGGAATGAGCTGCTATCTGTAGACACAGCTCGCCCGGGTGACTTTATCATCTATTATTTACCTGGAGATTTATGCTGCTGTAGTCTAGGCTGAACCTGCTGGCTGAAAATTTTAAGAGCTGCTGAACAAGCAAAGAAACTTGTTCCTAAAAACTCTAAGTGCCCACCGCTTTTAAGTAAATAGCCTACACATGACGTGAAGAGATAAGACAGACCCCTATTCGGAATGCCAGCAGAAGAGAAATACATCCTTGCGTCCTTATGCTTTGTTTTTCTTCCTATGGAGTTGCAGGGATGGAGCATGAGAGGAAGAAAAAAAAACGGCCAAACAGGCCTGCCAAATTTGAATAATGTAATGCAGGGGCCTAGTGAGGAATACTTTTTATATTTTTAAAGGGGTGTTTAAAAAGGAAAAAAAAAAAGAAGATCTGACAAGAGATGATATGTGGCCAAATCTGGCCCTTTACAGAAAAAGTCTGCAGACATCTGACTTAGAGCCCTACAAATTCCTCAAAACGAAGCTTGATGTGGAGATGAGATTTCAAAAGATCCTAACTAGGTAAGAACTTACCTTAATTTACCTTTTGGACAGAGAACAGTTTGTTAGTCTTAGAAATTTTATTTTTTACCCTCTAATGGGTCAGCTACTTTGCTTCATTTGTAGAAAGAAGTTGCTGCACTTTGACATTGTTCTTTGACACTGTAATGTGATACTGTTAGCCCTCTTTAGTATATTCAAGGAAACAAATACGTTTTAAATGCTTACTAGGTCAAGGCCTTTCAGGACATAGAAAAATGAAGAGCAAGGTCACTAATGAGCAGGAGACAAAGACGCAGATAAAAGCAGTTAGCTGCCAAGTGCCATCACAGAGATGCCTGGAGGAAGGGAGTCTGGCCTCTGAGAGCCAGGAAGGCAGGCACATGTGCGCTGACCCTTGAAGAATTCTCAGCTGCAGTGTAGGAGACACCATTCCAGGGGAAAAGCTCAGCCTCCCCAACAGCACAGGGGAGAAGGAAGCGGCTGGGATGTTAAAACACAACACTGAGAACTACATTTGCACCTGAAGCAAATAAGGCAAAATGTATAGGAGGTCTTATATAGGTTGGATGGTGTTACTCTGTTTTGTTTTTGTTTGTTTTTCCTGTAGAGTTGAAACTTCCCTGAAATAGGGTATATTGTAATAATAGACAGTTGAGTATCTGAAACTCATCTGATTTGATGGTCACATATTGATACATTTAGCGCTACAGGCACAGATGTAGATGACACAGAGTGAGAGCGAGCCCTGAATGGCAGGCCAAGATGCCACACAGTGAAGGTTTTAAGCAGAAAAGTGCCCCATCTTTAGACAGCTCCACTCGTGCCCGTCCGTCCTACAGGCAGTTTGTATTTCCCTGAAAAAAAAAGCATCAACTAAACATGGATGCTGACTAACACCCATGGTAAGAAAGGTTACCTACATTGACCTATAAGGTTAGGAGTGGAAATGTCTGGTAAGGCGGCCTGGGAGAGCGGTCACATCTAGACACACTTGGAAATCACCTATTTGGAGGGAATTATCTAAAGCTGTGAGGGCTGAATTAGCTCCCCAAGTGGTGACGGAGGAAGAGAGAGGGCTGAAGAACTGAATCCTAAGAGAAAGACCATGTTTAGGAATGGAATGAGAAAAGTTTTCGGGAAGGGAAGGGACAAATTACCAAAGCTGCAGAGAAGTCAGGAAAATGGGTCTTGAGAAGAGTCCAAATGATTAGGAAGAAACGAGTTCACAGGTTATCAGTAGAGGAGGGAAAACAAACTAGATCTCAGGGCTTAGGGCAAGGGAGAGAGAAGTCTGAAAAAGGCTTCCGAAATGGGGGTGCCTCCGACAGGCTGGGGGGTGGAGGAAAACCCAGGAGGAAGAGGAAGACCAAGAGGCTGGGGGCCGGAGGAGTGAGTCTAAGCCAATTAGGACAGTTCTTCTAGCCCTGATTTGCAGATTATGAAGAAGACAAATGACAGCCAACAATGACATTTCAGCAAGCTAAAATGCCCTAAGCTAGAGCTTGCCATTCTGAAATAAAAATGTAGATCAGATTCCTTTTGTAATTGGTACTACAGCAGATATGTACTAAAACAGGAATAGTGCTAAATTGCTGAGGCATAATGAATGGAAGAACTATAGAAATACGCTCCACACCCGAGATATCTGTGGGCTGCAGACACGGTGAAGTGATTCCTATGCCATAATTTTAATACAGTCTCATAATAGAATTTTACCTGGTTGAAATGGACTGCTTTTATTTTTCTTGAAATACATGTTTATTTGGCTTTAGAGATATTCTGCTACATACACTGGATTTTAATTTGCAAAATACTTGAGACCTAATTAATTGGTGTAGATTTATTTCTATTTTATCAACAAAAGTACCAAACAATACCCTACAGAGATCAGAGGAGGAGGAGAAAACAAAGGTAAGCTATTGTTCAAAAAACAGCCTCCAACACACCTGTCTCATACCTACGTGGTGTAGAGTGAAGGCCTATATCTTCCAGGCTCTTGTAAATTATTTCTACCGCCACCTTTTGCAAACAGACCTCAGAGGGGACACACAATTGGCAGGAGTTGACATTCCAAACTGCTATACTCCGTTTGGGCAAGTCATGCTCAAAATTAGGTGATACAAAGGCTTGCCGTCTGGTTGGGAGAGCAGACCTACTTCCATGGACTCTGGATTCCTTCCCTTTCTGGGGGGACTTTATCTGACTCTTCACTATGAAGGTTCTCAAGCACACAGCGAGGTAAAAATGACCACCAGGAAACCTCTGGGGAGCTCTAGAGGTTCCTTCGAAACTGTAAGTTCATTTCAGTGAACTTCATGTGCCATCAGCAGGCAAGCGAAGAATGAGGCAGCGGGATTTTGCCTCCTGAAGGACAACCAAGCTGGCGCTGCCACCGCTGGTCCCTTTCTAACTCGAACAGCACATTCCACGTTTTACTAGAAAACTGGGCCCTGAGGCCAGGGACCTGCAACAGATTAAGAAATGTGCCCAGATGTAAAGTCTCCAAAGTCAAAGAAAATCAGCAGGGGGCCGAGAAAGAAGCTGGTTGGGTAGTCTTAAATCAGTATGTAAAATGATACAATTAAAAAAAAAAAAGCATAAGGATAAAATTGGCATTTCTCAACTTCCAAAGTTAACCGCTTTCCCTAGGGGCCAGGGTGACACTTGTCTGTAAACAAATGTGAGATTATGCCTTTCAATTAGTATTTTACTCTCAAGTCTGCTTTTCTAATTCTACAAGACAAGAGGAAGCGAAGGAAGGCTCGAGTTCTTCTGCATGGGTATCCACAGGGATTTCCAGCAGCACCCAACACCTGCCTCCTGCTTTCTCATGCTCTCCTTTGCCCTCTCTCTCCTCCTCTTCCTTGTTGCTGGGACCTTCAGGCTTCCCGAGGTGTCCATGACCCTCGGAGTGGTGGGGGCTAGTGAGCTCTGCTCCAGCGCACAGACAGCAGTCTCTTTTTAGGCCTGTTTTGGTAACTAAGGGCTTTTATTTTCATGATCAAAGCCCAAGAGACAGAACTTCTGTCTCCAGTTGAATCTATTTGCCTTCTTACCTTTAATTTTCTGCTTGTATTCTTCTGGTCGGTGGAGGTACATGGCTGCAGCATCACCATTGAGAGGATCTATGGGGTTGGGATAGGCCAACAACTGGGGCAGGAAGGACTCAAATATATTGGTAAGATCTGAAAAAACAAACAGAAATATGTCACGTGTAGGAAAAACAAGCTCACCTAAATTCACTTGAATTCAGTAGCCAAAAGTGCTTATCTTCCTAAATAACCACATCAAAATTTTCCGTAACATTGCACTCTGTTATACATATGACCGGTATTACATATTCCTTTCAATACCAATTTTAAAAATTTTAATTTAATTTTAATTTGAAGAATCAGATAAAGGTTTACCGGATATTCGCTTTCAAAGGCAATTGTCCTGGGGCGCCTGGGTGGCTTAGTCGGTTAAGTGTCCGACTTTCGCTTAGGTCATGATCTCACAGTTCGTGGGTTCAAGCCCCGCGTCAGGCTCTGTGCTAACTACCAGCTCAGAGCCTGGAGCCTGTTTCAGTCTGTGACTCCCTCTCTCTCTGACCCTCCCCTGATCACGCTGTCTCTCTCTCTCTCTCTCCTAGAAATAAATAAAACATTAAAAAAAAAAAAAAAGAAAAAAAACAAAGGCAATTGTCCTGATTCTAATTGACTCCACATTTTATTTTATTTTATTTTTTTAATGTTTTTATTTATTTCTAGGAGATAGAGAGACAGCGTGAGCAGGGGAGGGCCAGAGAGAGAGGGAGTCACAGACTGAAGCAGGCTCCAGGCTCTGAGCTGGCAGTCAGCACAGAGCCCGACGCGGGGCTCGAACCCACGAACCGCGAGATCATGACCTAAGCGAAAGTCGGATGCTTAACCGACTAAGCCACCCAGGCACCCCTTGACTCCACATTTTAAACCAAGAATTCAGAAATAGTGCATTCAGGTTGTCTAGTTAAAACGTGTGTCCCCATACTCAACATTCTTACAAAACGAGTAATTATCTCTTAATATTGCCTTTTTCTACAGCTCTGAAAAGTATTCAAGGACCAGATCTTACAAAGAATTTTATGCCTTGACACTTAATTCAGTTCTCATCAGCTTTAATGGAGATAAATATAACCAGGTTTTTTTATAACCAGTTTTTCAATTATTCTGGGTAGTGAAGGTAAGAACCTATATAGACTACTTAAACTCACAGATAATTTTAAGACAAAGAGGTATCAACTTGGTGAATTTATTAACAATCACTTTAATAAAACATTTATTGACTCCCATCTTGCCAGATGCGGCACAAGGTGGTGGGTACACAGATGACATTTACACACACAGCAAAGTCAACAAGAGCCCTGCAGTCAGTGTTTTATAAAGGGAACAGGCCTTGCAAACCTGTGACAGATACTGCGCGTTCCTGTGCCTTCAATGCCGCCCTGACTCCTTGCTCCTCAGGTCACAGCCCGTGAATGGTGCATCTTGGCGCTGCCAGCTCTCTGCCCTGCGCCAGTTCCTATATCATGTTTCATAGAGAAATTTCTCTTTCTGGAGGGAATGCTAAAGTTGAGCACAAAAACTACTCTTTCATGTATTCTGCTCTTTTCATGTATTTTTTTCCCTTTACAGTGAGCACTTTTATGCAGTATTTTAAATAAGTGTTTGGTCAAAGCCACATCACTTTAGATTAGTGGTGCTCAGCCAGGGGACAGAAGACGTCTTGTAATATCTGGAGAAAATGTGGTTGTCACATCTGGGTGGGGGAGGACGACAGGTGGTGCCACCAGCACTCAAGCACAGAGGCAGGGCTGCTGCTAAACATACTACAATGCACAGGACAGCCCTTTACAACAAGTTACTATCTGAGCCAAAATGTCAACAGTGCTGGGGTGCCTGGGTGGCTCAGTCGGCTGAGTGTCCGACTCCGGCCCAGGTCATCATCTCACGGTTTACGAGTTCGAGCCCCGCATCAGGCTCTGTGCTGACAGCTCAGACCTGGAACCTGCTTCAGGTCTGTGCTTCCCTCTTGTGCTATCTCTGTCTCAAAAATAAACATTAAAAAAAAAACCTTTTTTTTAAATGTCAACAGTGCTGAGGTTGAGAAATCCTGGTTTAGATAAAAGGGGTTGACAAACTTTTTCATAAAGGGCCAGAGTAAATACTTCAGACTTTGTGGGCCAGGTTAAGGCTCTGTTGTAACTATTCAACACTCAGCTCTACCAAGTAGCAGAAGAGCAGTCACAGACAATAGGTGTGGGTGTGGCCGTGTTCCAATAAAACTTAGTATTACAAAACCAGGCAGCCAACGTTTGTCATCCTCTGCTTTAGAAAACCCTACAAGTAAGGGTCAGCTCTTCCTTTTCACTGTAAGGCTTCCTAACAGAGTTGAGCAGCTGGAGAATAAGCTAGAGCCACACCAGTTAATGGAACTTTCTGCAATAACGAGAATGTTTTGTATCTGCACTGTCCAGTAGGGTAGCTGCTAGCCACGTGTGGCTGTGGAAGCACAGTGGCTGGTGGGACTGAGGAACTGGGTTTTTATTTAATTCTAATTAATTTAAATTTCTATAACTACGCTTGGCTAATAGATACCAAACTGGACAGCTCAGGTATTGACAGCAATGTCATGGACAGTCCCAGGACAGCCAGCACAGTTCTGTTCCCAAATAGCGGGTACTGACAGAGCAGGTTAACCTCGAACCCCAAGTGATGGAGACTTGGTATTATATATGGACTGGTGCTATGTCACCTTCAAAAGGCTAACTTCCCAAGGAACCACGTTATAGTAAGGTTCTCCTATACCAGGAAGTAAATGCAGAGATTCCTAATCAAAAAAGCAAAACAGAAATAATCTTTCAAGATAACCCCAATCACCTGCAGTAAGATTTCCCCTGCTATCTTACTTACAATATTTTTTAAAAAGGAAGCAACATATTCAATAAACTGATTGAAAATTACTCAAAAGCTGATAGAGAAACAGAGAAAGAGAGGGAATAACAGAGGAAAATATTTATGCTGTAATGATGGAAGGAGGCAGTCCATAAAATGGTATTTCTCTAGAATTCGAAGTATATACAGTACATATCATAAAAGTATTTAAAAAGTCATCTTAAAGCAATAAATAGGCTTCTGACTTCTACTTTCACACTTCAAGTGACACTTTGCTTTTTTACCTTTTAAAATGGCATTTTCCTATAAACATGTCATTTCTACTTTTGCATGTTTGAAATATTTAAATAAAACATGGGTCTAAACAGCATCCCTCGTCATCAGGGAAATAGAAACCAAAATCACCCTGAGATACCACCTCATGCCAGTCAGAGTGGCTAAAATGAACCAATCAGGAGACTATAGGTGCTGGTGAAGATGTGGAGAAACGGGCACCCTCCTACACTGTTGGTGGGAATGTAAACTGGTGCAGGCCCTCTGGAAAACAGTGTGGAGGTTCCTCAAAAAATTAACAAGAGAACTCCCCTATGATCCAGCAATAGCACTGCTAGGAATTTACCCAAGGGACACAGGAGTGCTGATGCATAGGGGCACATGTACCCCAGTGTTCACAGCAGCACTCTCAACAATAGTCAAAACATGGAAAGAACCTAAGTGTCCATCAACAGACAAATGGATCAAGAAGATGTGGTTCATCTATACAATGGGATACTGCATGGCAAGGAGAAAGAAGGAAATCTGGCCACGTGTAGCAACATGGATGGACCTTGAGGGTGTTATGCTGAGCGAAATAAGTCAGGCAGAGAAGGACAGATACCATATGTTTGCACGTATAGGTGGATTAGGAGGAACTTAACAGAAGACCATGGGGGAGAAGAAGTGGAAAAATATTTGGGGAGACGGAGGGAGGCAAATCGTGAGAGACTCTTGAATGCTGAGAACAAACTGAGGGCTCATGGGGGTGGGGAAGAGGGGAAGGGGGGTGATAGGTATGGAGGAGGGCACTTGTTGGGATGGGCACTGGGTGTTATATGGAAGCCAACTTGACATTTAACTATTTAAGGAAAAAAAAAATCAGGTCAAGGTAAATAAATTTGGAAGAAAAAACAAGGTGTGGAATGTTTACAAACTGAACATGATCCCAGAGAAGAGTTAACAAGAGTTACATTAACACTAATAGTAGCAGGAATGGTAGCAGCCAGTGTGCACTTACAAGCTAGGCCCTTGTAAGCACTTCACACATACACACTTAGTTTCACTACAGCCAAAGAGCTAATTACCATCTCCATTCTGCACATGGGGAAACTGCAACAAAGAGGTTAGGAAACTCATTCAAGAGCAGATTTCAAACCTGGGCTCATCTACCGTGCTGCCTCTATCGGCAGATGAAATGAATGCTGCCTAAACTTTCATGACGGTGTGAGCTACCACATCTGAGCATTAACACTACGTATCCTCAGAGAGGGCCACCCCCACCTCAGTCTTCCTTTCTCACAAGTTCAAGGCCAGTAGAATGATCTAAGCAGAGAATGTTAAGGCATTTCTGTGGCTGAACTGTCTGATACTTCACAGAAGCAATGTGCTTGTTTTCAACTAGCTCAACCACAGAAAAGTAGCCCACGGCTGTTCACAGATGCCCACGTGTGGTGAACTGGGAGGTCTCCTGTCTGGTGGTCATTACAGGTGCTACTCAAAAAGGTTAGCAGCTGGGGCGCCTGGGTGGCTCAGCTGGTTGAGCGTCCAACTCTTAGTTTAGGCTCAGGTCATAGTCCCAGGGTCATGGAATCGAGCCTTATGTTAGGTTCCATGCTGAGCATGGAGCCTGCTAAAGATTTTCTCTCTCTGCCTCTCCCCTGTTCCTCCCCTGCTCTTGCTTTAAAATAAAGATAAAAAAAAAAAAGATTAGCAGCTGAATTTTCCTCTCAAACAACAAAAACCTTAAAAAAAAAGTGTATGATTTATTCTCTTTAAGTTCAGAAGTGCTTTAGAAAGACTTGAGAAATATGGCAGACTACATGTTTCATAACTAGGTGTTTCATCTGTTCCAGGAAGGGATTTTTATACCCTTTCCCCACTGCTTTTCAGTTTCTCAAGCTACCAATAAGTGGCTCTGCCTAGGTATTTGTTCCCAACAAGTAAAGGAACCCTCAATTATTTGTTCTACCTTCCTGTGTTCTGTCTTCATGCATTAACACACTTCTGATCCATTTTAC